CGGTGTTTTATTGTACTTAGGTGCATACCTCACGTTTGCCGTGACACAACTGTTTGGTGAAAGCCTCAGATGGAGGAAATCCCCCCGAAACAGTGACTCAAATTGCTACTAGGCTAAGGGGTACCGTACCCCAACAAATTTTAAAAGGATCAAAAATGGGAGGCAAAAATGAACTGAACAAGAGATTTATCATGAGATGATAAAAATCAGTTTTTACGAGTGAAAAATCTCAATGGGCAGCTGTTGGAGCGTCCTGGAGGTTTGAGTGGCATTACAGCCCTCTTCTGTTTCGGTGCGCGCGTTCTTCACGGCTGATGTGTTGCTATGTGGTCCACCGCCATAAACCTACCATAAACCGGGGGATGGTTTATACAGGTTTATACAACCCATAAACATGGTGATTTTGGGGGTGGTTTATTATTTTGTTTTCCCACATTATTGGTCTCTTGTCCTGTGTTTTGGTAGTCAAGTCATGTTAAATCATGCAACGTCTTGGAGGTGCTAAGTCTCGGATATCCCAAACCGTTGTGAGATGTCCACTGATCAATCCCAACCATAACTATTGTATGGCACAACTTAACTCAGGAAATCAATAGTCACTTAGCTCGGGTGAAGAGTTTTATTGTTTTGCAGCAGTAGCATCAAAATCTTGGATGTCCAACCTCGAAAAAGATGGAAGAATGCTCCCCCAGCGGATTCATACTTGGGGTATTATAGATCTCTTTTATATGTTTGGGATCATTTGGGGTAATTATACGTCACTTTTATTCATTCACGCTAGGTCACGGCACGGTAGGTCACACAATCAAGGCGAGAGCGGCCAGGAGTTGTCTTGGCACACTACAATTGGTACAATCTCTCGGAGCCATCCAAGGTTCGGGATGGAAATGCTGGAGATCCCCGGGGATATTTGGGGATTTCCCAGTGCCAAAGCCATAAAAACCGAAAAGAAAAGAGGGAAACTGGGACTCTTCACGTTGGCATACTGGAAAACTGCGAAAACGTTTCTTCCAGAAGAACATCATCATCATCATCATCATCATCATCAATGAACATTATTGTTATGATCATCATTATTGTCATCATTATTAATATGTTAGTATTTTTTATATGATTGTTATATGTTACTGTGATTATTGTTATCATTGTGGTCATAATATTGTGAATTGCCATGTATTATCATCAATAACTGTTAATGTTAAGAACTATTAAGTTATATGATTATGTTATATCAGTCATTTTCATTATGTGACAATTGTTTATATCATTGATGACTCTTATGCATATATACTCAACATTTATATCGTTGTTATATCATCTGGTTGGTGGTTTGGAACATGAATTCTATTTTTCTATTGGGAGTGTCATCATCCCAACTGACGAACTCCATCATTTTTCAGAGGGTTAGGTATATCACCAACCAGATTAGAAATGTGAACTTAGAAATGATTGTTATACACACACATACATATATATATATATATACTCAACATATATATATATATATATATCATGGTTTATAGTGATTTTTCCCATTAAAAAGGGTGATTTTCCATCGTTATGTTAGTTTGTTTACCAACCAGTCATTGTTATCCCGCTGAAAGGTGGCCTCGAAGGTGATCTTCGGCACCATCGCCAAGCTGGCGGAGTGCGGGCCTTTCCAAGAATGGGAGTGAAATCACGGGGGATAGTACATGGTAGTACCATATATACCATATATATATACCATATATATATATATATACCATATATATATATACACCATATATATATACCATATATAATGGTTCTGAAGTGGGTTATATATATATATATGCTTATATATATACCATTTGAATATACCATATATAAATGGCTAAGCCCGACATGGCTTAAGTAAAGCCTGAAGTAAGTCCTTTTTAGTGGCTTATTAAGTGTCCTTAAGTACATGATAGAAATGGTTCAAAACAAAAACCAGTTCCTGACGAGTGGCCATAGTTACTATATAAGTGGGATGATCCTCCAAGTACCTGGTACTTATGGCTCAGAATTCCCATAGCAGTTGGTCAAAGTAGAACATCAAAAACACATATTAGGGAAAACCATTGACAAATGATAGATGAATTTGAAAGTATGTAACTTGAAAAAACATATGATTTTGATGACTGAGTTACATGACATAAATGCGGTGATGACCCCAGATGGTTCTTTCAGATGCTTTATGTATCCCAGATGACAATCCTTCGAGATGTGGTAACACCGAAGTTGAAAAGGGCAGAATTGCTGTGTAGTCTTCATCCCAGTATATGCTACCCTCTGGTTATGTCAAAAAAATAACTATTGAAAATGGCCATAGAAATAGTGAGTTTTCCCATGAAAAATGGTGGATCTTTCCATAGTAAAATGTTAGTTTACCAGAGGGTAGCTGGTTGGTGGCAAGGTGATTTAATACCTTGGTGGTGTATCTTTTTCCGGCCTAGACATGGGATGATGATCGCAATGGGTGGGCTCCACCAGCAGCTGAACCAGCGATTTCAGGGCTGGCGTCTTCGTGTACCTGGGAGTTGTTGCAGCATTGTCGCAGGGGAGCCCAGAAACTGTGGCGGTGCTGGGTGTTGCCAGCTTGAGCCAAATAGAAGACTGACTTCTAATTACTGCTATCTACAATCATCTATAGGATATCTGTAGGATCTATAGTGACTGGTTTGTCCCCATCCAGGAATAGGTTTCCAACCTTTTGTTGCAGGAACCAGCCATTTTTCGCTGGTAAAAGCATCGCTTCCCCAGGCTGGGTCGGTTTCATTGGCACGGCGGCTGCATCCTTTATGCGTTGGTCGCCATAATTGTGGCGCGAGCGGCACACGTGCCTTGACATCGATGTGTGGCCAATAAAGCTACCATGGCGGGATGGTTGCAATCCCAGCCATAATGGGACTTCGGGATGGTGATGGCATTGGGTTTACCCTCTGGTTATGTCAAAATAGCTATTGAAAATGATCATTAATAGTGGATTTTCCCATTAAAAATGGTGATTTTCAATAGCTATGTTAAATTACCAGAGGGTACCACATTTGATCAACAACTTGAGACTCAGCCGAATGAATCAACTTACCACTGCCAATTCGACCACGCAGCCAGGTTTTTCCATTGTCTGTTTTGCTGAACCTGTGCCGAAGGCGGGGATAGCACTGGACAACGCTTCACCCGTTTGGTGACTGCGGTGACTACCCCTTGTCCCGCCAAAGAAATGATGGGTACTGAATAAGGGTGTACTACATTATACATCGGGTTGCTATAATTATAAATTATAATTATAGCAACCCGATGTACTCATAATAACCCCCAAAAAGATCGATAAAAGTAAAATCCAGTCCTAAAATAGTGGTAAATAGTGGTAAACAATTGTTACCTTTTCATACTTAAAACCGAGCCTCTAAAACTGTTTTTTGTCCAGGACAGCATGGTAGCACTGCCTACGCCGCGCATTCTTTCCGGAAGGACTCGAAAGATCACCAACAACATGAGCGTGGTGATGTGGGCCGCGGCCTGAAGGGTAACATGGTGCTTGAAGACGGCCTACCACTTACAGCAGTGGCTGTGTTCAACAAGGATCTTGTTGATATTATATAATATTGTAAGTATATATTATATTAATCAATATGATATAACGGCTTAAGTGCTATCCAAATCTATCCATTTTTCTATCCATTTTTTTCATGGGAATCTTAGGCAACTTCAACCATGGCAGATCAGGTCAGCGGTCTCCGGGGTGCGATTGCCTTCGCCTTGTCCTTGCGGGTTCCCTGCGAAGGTGCGTGTTGAGGGGTGTTCAGAAGAATTCCAGGGTTGACGTTGATGTGTTTTAATATATATATATATATAATCATATATGGTTGAATTATGGTTAGATTAATTATCTGATTATCTGTTCGAATATCTAAAAATATGTTAAACTATATGGCTACAACTGGATCTTAAATGATTTTAGAATTTTTATGTAGTTAGAGTTGACGTTGGTTGAAACACCTACAAGCTTTCAACATATGGTTACAAGTCGATTTTAATATATGGATTTATACATGGTTGGAATAGCATTTTTGCGGGAAGATCCCCAAAGATTAACACAATCAATGCCCAGGGATGAGCAAGAGCCAGGGATTAAGGTATGAAATATGCCGATTGAGCCATAAAAGATACCATTGTTGATTGGTTGTTGGAGGGCTTATAATCTTATAATATATATTTATATTTATATTATAAATTATATATATTATATATTTTGTTTAAATATATTATATATGTGTATATATATATATTATATATATGTACACATGTTATATGTATTACCAAGTTTACAAAGGGGATTCAGACAGTTACGGAATAGCTATTGACCAAGCAACATTTTTCACGGGAGGACGGGGCCCACATGGCTCGGAGGAAAGTGTCCGATATGTCCCGTGGCTGGGGTGATACACCAGCCAGAAACCCTGGGATTGGGGATTTAACAGATATTTACCATCTGGTTATTTGTTAACCATCAATATTTATATTAACATATATTAACCATCAATGATCTAGATATATCTAGATCTACCATGATCTACCATCTGGTTATTTGTTACATAGCCATGGAAAATCACCATGCTATGAATAGGTATGGCCCATCTATTTTTTTTGGGCCATCTATACCATGGCTATGTAACAAATAACCAGAGGGTAGAAGATGTTGGAACCATCTTGGGGGTGCTTCATAATCTTCATGGATCTCCTTCGTCTTGATCATCCAGCAGCTTCCTCATTCGAAAATGGAGCTCTGCTGACCTTTCATCATCTCCATCGCAATGCTCTGCAGCTCTTTGGCTCATGGTTTAAATCCCTTTTAAGCAATGTACGACTACAGTTCACGGCAGTGAGTTTCCAGTTAACTGATTCCAGAAGTTTTCATATTTTTCCAGCTTCCTATTTATACATAACCCCTAGATATTTGTGCAAATCTCTACATGTTGTGAGGAAAAACAGGTTGAACCTCAAGGGCGCCGTGTGCGCCTGGCCCGTGCCATGCTTCATGCGCTCAGTACGCTGTGCAATAAGAAGTTCCTTGGCGATGGCCCAGCGGTGTGGACAGAGCCGGAGTTCTCCAATGGTTTAAGGGGATTTTTGAGGCACCAAAGCTGAAGATTTATGATGATTTATGATGATTTGTGATTCAATCAATAAAGATAGGGATGATTTCTCCAAACCATTGTGGGCGCGGGTGCGGCTGCCGGCTTGCTTCCTGGCCTTCCTGGGTTCAATTTTTGGCACAGTCCACACTGCCGACTCGTTGCTCGTTTGGGATCGCTTCGTGTCCCGGTGGCTACGTGTTTCATCGTGAGAGATCTGCAGTATTTCCAGCTTTCGCTTTATTGGCACCATTGCATATGGATGGTCTGAAGATAAGCCCATTTTGGCATGCAGGCATCCAGTTCTTCCCTTTTTTTGTTTCCACCCATATGAGCATGTGGCGATATTGGTTGGCTATTGACACAAGGTTGTGGGAATCTGGATAGGGGGACCATATGATGATTGTCCTATTCCCAGCGGTATTTTTTTGACCATGGAATTAGAATGTCTTAGATTACCAGAGGGTAAATCCCATTCGTCCATTCCACATGTCGGTTGGCATTCGGTTGGCAAATTCCGATACGGGTAGGTAAAATCCGATGTTTTGTTGGCTGAATCTCCATATTATCCCCATCCTTTTTGCTCAAATCGAGGTTTTTGTTTTTTGAAGCCAAAGTTCCCATCGCTAAAATCCCAATGTTTGTTGGTTCAGTATAATTAAGTATGTGAGAATCCATTTTTATTGGTTGAATCGCAGACAATTCTGGTGAAATCCACTTTTTTGGTTCGTGATCTGCATGTTTTCAGCCTGTTTTTTTCGATCAAGGTCCATCTCCAAAATCTGGCGCCGCTCTGCACACGAGGTCAGAGATGGTATACTCCTGGAGCTATGGTCATGTTTTTCATAGATTTTGATCAGAAAAAATGATGATTAAACATGATTAAACCAAGATTAAGCCATGATTTTTTGACCTCTAGACGAATCCGGAAGCCGGTAGTGGTTTGACCAACTTCAGCAATAGATAGCAATAGCTTGGTGGTGATGTGAATCATTTTTGGGGTGCTTTAAGCAACATCAAATTGGGAATGGTTTGATGATATTGATGGATCAAAGCTGTGACATCTCATATTTGGAGGGAATGGACATCCATTTATCCCAGTGATTTTCATGTTCACTCGGGCACCAAGAGTTTTGAAGCTGCTGGTCTGAACTTTTCCAGTCCCGCCTTTGGGGGTGCTTGCAACTCGAGTGCAAGCACTCCTGGCATGTCCTCAGACTGGGTTACTGACTGGTCCCCTTAAAGTTGTTGGATTTAACAGAGATTAGTTTGTGGTGATTCCATGATATTCCATGTATAGTGAGATTATGTGAGATTATATTAAATAGATACCCAATGATACCCAATAAAGCAACCCTCTTGAGTTCTTTCGGCTTCGAAAAAGCCGTGGCTGCCACAAAGGGGGACTTTCAAATTCAATGGCTTCCTTTGGACAGCAGCAACCTCTCAGGAGCACCACGAGAACTTTACTCCAAATCTCTGCAAGACAGTCCTATGCTGGCTGGGTGCCTTTTCTTGTTCATCCAGGGCGCAGGCTATGGCGAGGATCTGTGAGGATGAGATGGGGATTACCCTCTGGTAATTTAACATAGCTATTGAAAATGGCCATTTATAGTGGATTTTCCCATTAAAAATGGTGATTTTCCATAGCTATGTTAGTTTACCAGAGGGTAGCTGATAGGCTTATATGGCGTTTCTTGTCACTGTCAAGTGCATTCAGTCTCGTTGTCGATGTGATGGTCAATGTAAATAGCCAAGGTGTTTTTTTGGTGCAGATGTCTCACTGAAACGGGGGAAAGGTTCCATGGACTTTGCTAAACCTCGGTTTCTGAGGGTTGACTTTGACTGGCATGTTTGAGGTCAGGGGATCAAATCGGAGTATATATTGGGCATGGCTACCGGAGCATAAAAAAAGGGACTAGAAGATCAGGGACTGTTTTTCAAAATACCATCTGGTTATTTGTTACATAGCCATGGAAAATCACCATGCTATTAATAGGTAAACCATCTATAAATGGACCATCAACAAACCATGGCTATGTTAGTCATAACCAGAGGGTAAACATTGCTCCAGTCATGTGTTTGTTTGAGGTCGTGGGGCACCCCAAGATCCAGTGGATTGTACTTGGCTTCTCAATGGAGATTTCGAGGTTTGTAGGAGCTTATGCCCAGAGATCATGGGTCATGGGTCATGCGTGCAACTAGTAATATTCTAATAATGTTGAATTCAGGGTACAGTACACCATAGTACACCTACTTTAGCTGCATGGCGGTATGTTGCAAACTTGGAGAATGCTCACATCCCTTCAACTATATGGGTTTGTTTGAACATAGGATGCCTTAAAACCCCCTCATTAATCAAGTTGTTCCTATTAAGACCGCGATTTGGAGGATATACTTCCCATGTTTACACACGCCCATTTGAGTTCCTGGCGTCGGACATGGCTCCAAGCTATGTCCACTAAATTCCCCTCGCCTGAAATGATGGTCCCCTGCTTGTGAATTGGAGTCTTAATTCCCATCAAGTCCCATCTTACCCTGAGCTTTGGGTAGTTCTATCACTGGGAGCCATTGGATTTTCGTGGTCAATCAAGCACATGAATGAAGACCGCTTCAGAGAGATTCTGACCAGGTGAGGATGGATCAAAACATAGCCCTTGATACCATACCATATTTGGTCTGCGGAGTGGTAGCGGCGAACATCCATAAACATGCAGAAACAAGAACCATCCATTCTGATGTTCAGTAATCAGCACCAGCTTTTGATAAGTGGGGGACACTCCTTTGATTGGAATCCCAAGACCTTTTCGAATCAACATCTACGGTTTATCATAATTTTCTCCATCAAGATTGCCATTCAATATCATTCAGTAAATCGCCATGGCTGTAACTCGTTTTCATGCATACATCCCCAACCTTGGGTAATTAGTTGTTTTTTTAGCTTTTATGGAAAAATTGGAAAATAACCAGCCAACCAGCAATCATTTTGTTTTGCTATTCTAGTATAAATAAAAACATATGTAAAATAACATAAAATAACTAACTATAATCAGCAAGTGATTACAATTTTTTGTGGACTACCAAAGGTCGGCCATGCATAGGTCATAGCCATAGAAATGCCACGGGGTCTCCACCTGGCTCTGTAAACCTCAGGTGCCTCGATGATCATAGCTTCCGAGTGTCTCGGAAAGGGCTTGAGTGGTGGGTCGCATTCAAAATCGCAGGAAATCCTTCTAGGTCCCCCAGAGTGGTTGATTTTTGGGGAAATGGCCCTCCCCTTTATTGGCCATAATTTGGGATTCTCTATTTTCAGACACAGCCTTGCGAACACCTGAACATCCGAAACATGGTTGGGATGTTCACTTACCCTGATTTATACACCTCCAGGTGGCTTCAGATTCGCATGTACATGGAGAAGCTAGGGGTTGAGTTTTTGCAGGGAGGGGTAACACGCATAATTGTATGTCACGACTGGTTCCGAGTTTTTTCGCGAAACTGCGATGACATTATAGTAGATGATGTGTATTTATATGTATTTATTCTTGGTGAGAAGCCTGTCAAGGCCATATGGCGCTAATTGATGCTAATTGGATATCAAGCTCTGGGGGGGTGTATGGAAAACTATCAAAAGAATCACACCACCCGCCTAAGTTTCAGAACTATGTTTGGTTTTAATCTTCAGGGTTGTATTTGCCATACGTTGTCACTGCAAAGTCTTTGACAATCGACCATGCCCGGCAATGGTGGCTATGGTCAGGATCCATCGCTTGACTCCGACCAGGTTGAGCTTCAGGTGTCATACCTCACTGGTGAGGAAGCGCTGAGGCTTCGCGTCCCTTCCTCCGCCCTGGCTGGGTCGCTGCGAAAGATGGTGTCTCTTCAACTTCCGCTGAAACCTGGGGCCCGTCTCCTGTTGGCAAACGCCGCACCGCTGGCGCCGGAGAAGACGCTCAAGGAGCAAGACATTGTGGAAAGTGCAAGGCTGTCATGTACCTTGGAGGAGCTGAAAGGGGATTTGTATATGGATTTGGTGTTTTCCCATTCATCCACCAATTGGGGAATCTATTGGGGAAGATATTCTCTTATAGCCAGAGAAGCTTCAAATCCAAGGTACCTATGTGCCAGTGAACTTATTTGAGGCATTGTGTTGTTGCGTCAATGGCTCCACAACAGAGGATGCAGACTTCCAGCTAGAGGGGTTGACAAGATTGGTAGGTTGCCAATACGTCAGAACCCTGCATCACCTACCCAAAAGCCTTCAAACCTTGTCTTTTCGGTATAATTTTGATCAGAGCTTGAAAGGAGTGATTTTTCCAAGTGGTCTTCAAACCGTGACGTTCGGGCAGAAATTCAACCAGAGCCTGGAGGGAGTGTTGTTGCCAAGTGGTCTTCAAAGCTTGACTTTCGGCGATTCATTTGACCAGAGCCTTGAAGGAGTAGAATTGCCGAGCAATCTTCAAAGTTTGACTTTCGGTGATCTATTTGACCAAAGTATGAAGGATGTGATTTTGCCAAGTAGTCTTCAAAGCTTGACTTTTGGTAACAAATTTAACCAGAGTCTGCAAGGAGTGATTCTGCCAAGATGTCTTCAAGCTTTGACTTTCGGTCATTTATTTGACCAATGTCTTGAAGGAGTAGATTTGCCAAGCAATCTTCAAAGCTTGACTTTCAGATATTGTTTTGATCAGAGCCTGAACGGAGTTGGTTTGCCAAAGAGTCTTCGAAGCTTGACTTTCGGACACTCATTCAACAGGAGTCTTGATGGAGTGGACTTGCCAAGCGGTCTTCAAAGCATGACTTTTGGCTTTTGTTTTCGACAAAGCCTAGAAAGAATTGCTTTGCCAAGCGGTCTTCAAAGCATGGAATTCGGCTATTTATCGAACCGGAGCCACAAAATAGACTTGCCAAGCGGTCTTCATAGCTTGACCTTCGGCGAAAGCTATGACCAAAGCCTGAAGGGAGTGATGCTGCCAAGTGGTCTGAAGAGCTTGACTTTTGGTTATAAATTTGACCAGAGCCTGGAGGGGGTCGACTTGCCAAAGGGTCTTGAAAGCTTGACTTTTGGACGCTTATTCAATCAGAGCCTCGTTGGAGTGGCTCTTCCAGGTAGTCTTCGAAAACTGACTTTCGGCAGTCGCTTTGACCAGTGTCTTGGAGGAGTGCACTTGCCATGTGGTCTCCAAAGCTTGACTTTCGGTGATTCCTTCAACCAGAGTCTAAAGGGAGTGGTTCTTCCAAGTGGTCTTCAAACCATGACGTTTGGGCAGAAATTCAACCAGAGCCTGGAGGGAGTGTTGTTGCCAAGTAGCCTCCAAAGCTTGACTTTCGGCGATTCCTTCAACCAGAGTCTACAGGAAGCGGTTTTGCCAAGCAGTCTCCAAAGCTTGACATTCGGCTACGAATTTGACCAAAGACTTGACGGCGTGAGCTTGCCAAGTGGTCTTCAAAAGTTAACATTTCGTGGTTCATTGGATCAAAGCCTGCAGGGACTGATTCTCCCAGAGGGTCTTCTGAGCCTCACGTTGGGCGATCTATTCCTCGAGAGGCTCGAGGGTCTGGAACTGCCAAGCAGTCTGGAAAGTTTCACCGTCTCTGGCGTTGGCGTTTCAACCATTTAGATCCATTTAGAAAGTCCCTGAGTGAAAGGATAGAAACCTGGAACCTCAGGAAATAACATGGCGCTTTTCCCAGTTCAAAAAAATGCTTCCAACCATTTATTCTGAGCCCCAGGGTTTCACAATCGTGGCGATATCCAACAGATCCAAATCCCTTTCCCTTGATATTGTAAATGTTCTTGAAACACTCGTCCAGACTAGTCTCGTATTGTCCCTTCTTGGGATTTCTATTCTTGGGTATATGTAATCAATTAGGAGCATTTAGCAGCTTTTTACCACATAATATGATCATATCCCCAATATATCCCCAATGTGTCTCTAATACATCCCGCGTTATTGTTGGTCACTGCTACTTTATGCATATAGTAATAATGAATAGTCAATGATGTTTTTTGCAACATGTTATACCAACTCTACTGTAATGTTCACATCCATTTCATAAACCCCGAAAAAAACAAAGAGCACCACAATCGCGATCATAATAAAACCCCCCGGCCACAATAAAGTACGCAAACCGTTTTTGCCTGTCCTGATTCTTTGAGCCTGACCTCAAAGATCTGAACGAAAATCCCGATCTGAATGCATCGATTTCTTTTTAAACCCCTTATTTAAAATGCCCAAAAAAGACATTGCGCAAAGGGGGTTAGCCATGAACCACCTCGGAACCAAGATAAAAAGCAATCTTTTGACCCCCCTAAATAGAGTAACTGTTTTTTAGTGGAAAATGTTCAGTGGTCAAACTTTGCATTCTAAATCCCCTTGAAAGTAAATTACTTCAATATCCGTCTCCCCTTCAAAGCAACCACTGAAATCTCAAAATCCCGATCTGAATTGATCGATCTCTAAATCCATTATTTAAAATACAAAAAACAACGCTCGCACAAAGGGGGCAGCAATGTTTTAAGTGTTTTTTAGTGGAAAATATCGGGTGATAATGCTTCGCTTTCCAAATCCCCTTTGAAGATCTTTGACATAAATTACTTTTGCTATCTCAACCACTAAATTAGTGGCAGCGCCCTGAATACAGTGCTCCAATTTTGGGGACGTTCCTAAAAAGCCAAAGAAAAGTCAATTCTAGTTCAACTTCAAATCAATTTTGGGTACATTTCAATGTCAAATGGAAACTTTCTCAATATGATACGTATTTGCTTTCAATAGGCAATTTTGTTTGGCAATACTAAAGTGCAAAGGCGTTCTCAACATGTATTAGTGTTCAATTTGGCAATTTGTCCGGCAATATTAATAGGGTCCAAAAACTGCACTTATGTATATGTGCTTGCAATTAGGCAACTCGGCAAATCTAAAAAGATAAAATATCCATTATGTACGCGTTTTCAATTAGGCAGTTTGTTCGGTAAGACTTAATGTTCGGAGTCCCCAAACGTAACGTATGTTTGGCCTCAACTTTATTTATGACTACAATGATGTTTCAGGGGGGTTACTAATATGATGTAGACATTAACTATGATAGGCCCGTGTTACTTTAATGTATCATATGATATCTATATCAATACTCTACATTGATACCAACTGGCCTTGCACGAAACTCTCAGGTTCACCCTGCATGTTTGGCACTCAGACTGAAGCTGTTAGGACACCATTAAAAAGTCACCATGGGAGGTTCGTTTTGGGATCCTTTCATCGATAGGATGATGACGGATGGCTGGCAATCAAGAAGAGAGATGGCTGACTTTTCTATGGCATCTTTCGATGGGTTTGAAGGGATTTTTGTTGCCCAGATTGACGGGGGTTTCAACCTTTGATCTCAAAATTAAGCTGGCTTTGTCTTAAAATCGGTGATATCCTATATATCCTAAAGCGACGCTTTGGAATATGGGTGTGTGCAATCTAAAAATTGATGTAACAGGGGGCCCTGCCCAATTTTCAGACAAACCATAATGATCAACGACGGGATCAACGGCGGGATTGCAATTCTTGAGTCAACTCGAAGTCAAGCCGACCAGCGAAGCGCACTTACGATGTCTTCCGATGCTGAGGCAACCTGCAAGAAGTCAGTGGTTTTTAAGCAGGACTGTAGAAATTCGCAATGTTCAAAGCCCCTGTTGGATCTGTTGGTTGGTGATTTGAGATATCTGAGGGGGTTATACTAGCAATATATTGGCAAGCATCATGATCCAATAAGGGAATCCCTATGATCATTGCACTGGAGAATGGAGAATTGCCATATCCGATTGTATCTAAATCCATAGTTACTGTTCCATGGTTTCACAAAATATCTTGAAGTACCATGACTTACTATAACATGTATTTTATTTCATTAACATATTGAAATGATTTTATATATGTATATAATTGTATATACATATGTTCACCCTTGGCAGATGATCCAACATGAGGAGTTCCAGGGATTTTTTTTTGGGAGCCAAAGGTCCCTGGAAATTCTCCCATCGATGTTCCGATGTTGAAACGTTCCTATGTTGGGGGGATTTCGCCATGTTTGATGACACCACAGCTTATTTATATATATATATACATATATAATATATATATATATAATATATATATATATACATATATATATAGACATGATAATTCATGATATTTCCCAGTCTATCCCATGATTGTCCCATGGGATATCCCCAAATGCCTCTTGGATCGTCCCGGAATCCCCATGACCATCCCATAGATTCCCATCCACCCCCCGCCGGCCAGGAGGGTGATGTGAAGTGCATGGCCGCGGAGCTGATTTTCTATTTTCAGTTCCTGGAGGCGCGGAGGGTGTGCGCGGGGGGTGTAAAAGTTCTCCAACTTTTTTCGCTTATGGCTTATGGCTCTATGATATATCCACTGTCGAATCTATGTCGTTGCTCAAAAATACCAGTTGCTGATGATTTGGCGAAAAAAGATCCAGGAGGTTCATTGGGAAATCGATTGAGGGAGTATGTTATATTACGTATATTATATATATCTAACAAAAAATATGTTTTTTGGTTCTTCAAGCAAATCCAAGAATAGGCAATTCAAACTATGAAAAATGCGGACTTTAGCATGAACAATGAATTTAACTATGAACGATGGTGACTTAACTGTGAAAAATATCAAGAATGGTTTCTTAAGCATCAAACATGGTAGTTGTTGATTGTGATATGTAGGTGTATAGGGGTGTGGCCACACTTTTCAGGTAGGTAAATTTCATGCCAATTTGCCCAGAATAATGATAATGATAGCCGATGGTGCGTATTATTATGTCTTGGTCGATTCTTGGGGTTATTATCCCACTATCATCCTCAAGCGTATTAAAACATAATAGCCAATTGAAAGTATCATCCCAGTTGTTTCGAATTCTGCATGGTCCCCGTGATGATAATCCCGACTGACTCATATCGTTTGGGGGTTGAAGATTTGTTGAAACCAGCAGATGAATTGTCGACCTCACAACGACTTCACACATATCATGATGGTTTGTTGATCATATCATACCGTTATTATGTGTTCCATGTTTTCCCCCGATCTGGGATCTACAGTAATTTGCCCAGATGAATGCTGAAGAACCACTCTTGAGTGACTCCTGAATGTGTGTGGTATGGCTAGCTGCGAATGGTTCAAGTTGAGGTTATTACCGGAAAGTTGTGTCCTTTTTTATGAGCACTGAGTTTGGAGTCTGTCTGAATTTCGAAAACCAGACATTCACTACCCTCCTGTTTCATCAAGCATGGCTACCCTCTGGTAAACTAACATAGCTATGGAAAATCACCATTTTTAATGAGAAAATCCACTATAGATCACCATTTTCAATAGCTATGTTAGTTTGCCAGAGGGTAGCTCATGCTAGCTCGAAAATCTCCCATTGCGGGGACTTCTAGCCCCGTTGCAGGGCGTGTGTCGATGTTGTACAGCCATTGTTGCCTGGCTGGTGGGTTTCTGGTGGGTTTCCGTGGCCGGGGGACCCGTTGAAAATGGCGGATCGACATCGGGGCGATTCAGCCTGAGGTCTTGGTGGATATGATCTGGGCCGTCATGGTTCAGATGGCGCCATGGCTGCGATTTTGCATACACTTCTGGGAATTACCCTCTGGTAATAGCTGACATAGCTATTGAAAATGGCCATAGAAATAGTGAGTTTTCCCATGAAAAATGGTGGATCTTTCCATAGTTATGTTAGTTTACCAGAGGGTACGTATAATTACTTTGTTTTTTTGACGTATATGCCACAAATGTTGTTGCAAGTTGGTCAAGAGCAGGTGAGCAGGGTTCCTAAATGGGTTTGTTTGAAAACAGGGTGTTCCCAACTTTGATGGTCTACAGAATTTGCCCTATTAAAATGACAATAAATTGGTGGTATTTCCCATTTTGAGACACACTCACAATTGAATGATAACAACCCCCATTCAAAACCGGTAATTAAATGTAACCCCATGTTCACCATCAGTCTCTAGAGATGTGGGTTTGCACTGCTGGAAGAAAAGACGCTTTCAGCGGGTATGTTTCAGCGCGGTGTTTCAACCATTCAATCAGCCTTTATATAATACTCACATAATAATGGGTGATTAAGCAGTCAACTATAATACTGTACCACATTCAATCAACCATTCAATCAACAATAATAATGTACCACTTCAAGATTTGGGCTGTTTTCAATCTTTGTGACTTCAATCTACTGTAATCTGTGATGTCACGTATGGGTCCAGGGCCCAGGGCAATCGAAATAGAACCTTAAGAATACCATCAAGATCACAATAACAGGCTTTGTTTGATGTATTTGGGGGCATGAATATAATATATATTATATATAGATACATATGCATACATACAAAATGTACATATTAGTGGTCATTGATTTTCTACGTCCATTCTAGTTACTGTATATGCGTTGAGTATGCTTGATGTTAGTCTACCATTTGGGCATTTGGTATTTGCATAAAAGGACCCAAATCCATTTGGTTCATGTCGGGGCTGATTTCGTATGGCTGGGCATTCATCAAGATCTGTGACTTCTGTCATCCAGTATTGGTTTTATGCTGGGCTACCACATTAGATAATACATGATATGCAGGAAAACATGATATGCAGGAAGATGAGCAGTTTATCATTTAATCTAGGTATAGAAATGATTGTATACGTATATATTCATATTGTATCAAATATGACTACACAATATGTATATTTCTGTAGCAATATGTATCTCATAGATAATGTAGTTACATACATGATAACATGTTTATCCAAAAACACTACCATCATAACATGTTCAATGTTATTTACAGTGTTTTTGTTGGTGCATGTTTAGCTTTTGGGGGTGTAGCATATATATATATATATGTATATATATACATGCTATATATATATACATCATCTTGACTTGTAGAAGCCTTTTTTTTTCGGGTTGCCACGCAAATCAGGATTTGACCACTACCACCTATGATCCAACGTCACCAATGAGTCCTGCAAGCCCTGTGACCCGGAAGGTGCCAAATTGTGGGGATGATTCGTGAGTGATTTTTATGGTTCACTATCCATTGGATTTCTATTTACCCTCTGGTTATTTAACATAGCCATGGTATAGATGGCCCATAGAAATAGATGGTTTACCTATGATTTTCTATGGCTATGTTAAATAACCAGATGGTAACATCAATGGCTAATAACGAACACGGTTGATCATTAATTAATCATGATCCATATAGCTGATACATCATGTTTTTTTTTTTAACAAACTATGGTTATCATCTTAGCCATCATGAATTACTATGGTGACTACTGAAAAGGCCATTGATGACACTCCCCAGAGGATGTTGATTACTATGCTGTGCACTGTGTTACAGATTATAGGGAGTGTCATCCTCCCTGGGGCATCTTTATTAGCCAGAAGTGTTTTTGACGCTGCTCCAATGAGTTGGGTGGAAAAAGTGGTGGCATCAAAGAAAAAAAATAAAATCCTGGCGATTTAACAAGCGGGAAATGGAGGTTGGGCATCAAACCATGTTTTTTTTGGTAATTTCCCAAGTTGGAGAGATAGCCATGTACAGCTGCGGGGGCTGGGCATTTGACCAAACCACAGGGGAGAGAATGGGAGGTTTTTGCCGCTGACGGGCCTGCGAATTGATAGACGATTCACATTGGATTCTCACAGGGGTTGTGAGGACTGCATGGGTGTCCAAAAACCATCAAACACCAGGCCATGTTAACCATCCAATGAAAATCAAAGCGCAGAGGATCCGTAGTTCACATCTATATTGGTGGGAATCATCATCCCCGCAGAATCCACAATGCTCCATGTATGGAATATCTACCAGCATGTATCTTTGAAGTTATATACCCACATGTGGAGAAATTAGGATATGTGGGAGGAATATTTCTCAAATATTCCCCAAACTTAGCATATGGGAATGGTGAAATTGCCATGTTTCTTGGTCAAAGCTGCAGACGAGGAGACCGAGGGCTTTATAGATCTTTGGCGTTTTCTGCCTAGGCTTATCGTGCCCCGGCGGGTCCAGAATGAGGGAATGGTAGTAGTGTTACCAAGAAAAAATGGGTTCAAGTATATTTTAACAAGTGCGTTCGTCATTGAGTGCTTGGAATAGCCAAAAAAGATGAAGGCGTTTGGCAGTTCAGATTGTAACCATTTTGATCTGTTTTGGGCATTAAACTTTGACCAGAGGGTACATTAAACCACGGGGGAAACTGACGGTCACTCTGTCACTGGCCTGGAGGATCATGCTGGATCATGTTGGATCTATTGAACTGGGAGATAACGACTGGGATAACTTGTAGTTTGCCACTCCAATTTGTCAATTCTCAAATCCATTTGCTGGTCATGGATTTGAAAGCGCAATCCGGCTGTCTCAACACAGTTAATTTTCAGGAAGCAGGGTGGTGCAATTCGAGGTCCAATTTGGGGATCATCTAGCAGGGGATTCAAGCACAAGCACAATGAATAAGAGTAGACCTGCATCATAATAAGTAATAGATAATAATTTAGTATAGTATATGTTGTAGTCATATAGTAGAATATCACATAACATAATATGATATCGTATAGTATAATATAGTATAACTATACAGTA